GCCCACCTCTCCCCACAGTAGATCTGTGTCACCATTTCCATCTCCTCTTTTCACAGCGCTTACTTTCTCTGAAGTTTTCTTTGGGTTTTTCCACTCTCCAGTGTTTCCCATTTCCCCCTCCTTCTCCTCGTCTTTTGTTTTCCTTTTTCCCACCAGTCCCCTCTCATGTTCGGTCCAAACACAACCTCCATCTGGATTTTTTCCCACCTCCCAGTCTGCTCTATTTAAACTGACTCCCTTCGCCCCACCTCTACCTCCTGCACCCTCAAGTGCTGTCCATCAAAGGAAGGTCGGAGCACGCCCTTCTGACATAAAGTGACATAGTGTGTGTGTAGGGGGCACAACATGAGGGGAATCGAGCGTGTGTCAGCCGTGTCACTACTACTCGATTGACCGTACTTGGAGCAAGTCAGGGGAGGACTTCCACTCTATTGACCAGTCTACGCTGTACGCTCTATAAAGTATCGACTCCAGCACAGACGCCCGAGTTACTGGACCACACACCTCATCTGTCTGACACACACACACACATCTTTAAAGGCCGTCGCTAATGCTATCGTATTTTAGTTTTAAGCAGCACGAATCTTTCCAGCCTCAACCTTTTCGCAGTTAAAAAAAACACACCTCATACCATTATTTTATACACCTAAGGCAGCTCTGTCCTCATATTTTACATTCACCTCCTGAATAATCTGAAGACAGAGACTGAGTGCGAATGTACACCCAGTTTATGTTTTTTTTAAAATACAGACATTTCCTCTGAAAATTATCTTCCCTAACAGTTCGGGTAATTATGGTTCCGATTACCATGAGTAATTAACTGTCTGGCAGTATAGACATTTGTCTGCACCTGAAAAATGACCCTGATGTCGGTGCCAACAAAGGGAGGAACTAAAGGATAAGTCGATTCATTTTTTGGCACCATTTCTTGTGCAGAACTACAGACTGTCTGTTATAATAATGTAATAAATGTCTGTCATTTTAACAGGTTGTACCATCTGATGGCGTGGGGGGTGCCTTTGATCATGGCCTCTTTGCCGCTGTTCAAGGGTTACTATGGTCCTGCAGGACCGTGGTGGTAAGTACATCCAAACATCCAAAACACAGAGTCCTTTTTTTTATTGCTAATGTCCTTTCTGTCAATGAAGACTACAGCTCTGGCCTCATTCTAGCTCCAAGCCTGCCTTAATAGGAGTTTAAAAATTGGCAATTATCAACACATCTGATCACAGTAAACGCTTCCTCGCACTCTGTTGAATAGGAAAAGCATTATTTGTTTGGAGGGGTGAGCATGAGGGGAAGAGGCCGAGGAGTGGAGGTGGCGGAATGAGAATCGGGACAGAGCTTTAATCTCCGGGCTTGTCTCTCTCTCTCTCTCTCTCTCTCTCTCTCTCTCTCTCTCTCTCTCTCCTCTC